GCTGTTGACATATTTTATCCATTTTAAAAACCGGATTTAGCTTGTTTAACTGCTATACTGTATATTGTTGAAACACTGAATTTAGTGGCACCTGTGTTTCCAGTGATGCCTTTAAGTTGTTTTTTATTAACTATTTGTTAAAAGAAAAAAAAAGAAACAATAAGAAGCGTTTACGTTTTATCATTCAATCCTCATCCTGAGGTATTGACGATATTGACGCCGAGCTTTTCAAGGGCAGCTTTAATGCAGTCGCGGCCACATTGTTCAGCTTCAGTAATGTTGGGACTGTTAATTGGAGTCACGTCCTCTAATGGGTAGCTTCTATTTCCATGGATCACTCGTGCAGCTGCCTCACTCGCTACACCTTTGACTATAACTGTTTTGTGCACTCCTGCAAGCAACCCTTCGTAGTCCGTGTCTCCGATATCTCCCACGAAAACCACCATCTTTGATAAATCCACTCCCCACCTCACCAGCAAATACCTGAATAAGAAAGAAACCAGAGAGAGTATCGGTTTTTCCTCGTGAAAGATCAAAATGTGGGATTCTAGATCTCCACTGTTATGTAAGAAAATGATTATGTTTTATGATGCGTTTAAATTGAAATGAAATCATCGAAGGGCCTAGTAGAAGTAGAAGATACCTGAGGGCTTGAGCTCGTGAAGCAAGGACAGGGATTACATTGAGCTTAGCTCCTCCTTTGCAGTAAACTGCATTGCAACGCAAAGCCTGAATTCTGATCAACTTCCTCAGCTCCTTCATTGGAGGAACCTGCCAAAAGGAACATAAGAAAGCGCCACAACGTTAGGAAAATTCGAGTGGGAGCAGACACTAAATGTAGAAATATATCGAGCTTTGTTATACCATAGCTGGTTCTTTGACTTTGAAAGATAGGCAATAGTTAGTTGAGGAAGATTCATCTTCCGATAGAATCTCGCCACCATGTTCCCGCTTCTTCTTCTCGTGTACAGAACTGATCCAACGGACCAAAGTCTTTCTCAGGCTCTCTCCTCCCCACCTGTATTCTATGTGTGAATGGTAATCTGAGTCTAGCGCATAAGGTAGTTTTGTCTTGTCCTCAGAAGCAGGGGATGTGAAGTAGAGTTCACTTCCGCTGTTGCAGATCACGGCATCGAAATCTTGTGGGCTTAAGCCTCCTGAAATAATTGTGGAATGAGTCTCAGTTACATTCATTGAGGTTGAGAGAATGAATCCTATCGAAGACCTGCTTCTTCCCGCCACATCAATCACGGTTTTAACTACTTTAAGAAGATCTGAGGCTTGGTCGCAGTCCACAGAGATAACAAAGATATACTTTCGTCTTTTCAACGTCGGGGTCTTGCTACTGCCATAGGCCTTCTCTGTCGATGTGCTCTTTTGTGCCAATGTTGAAACAGCTTTCTCTAGCTTAGCTTTTCGTTCAGAAGAACTGTCTTCAGTATCTAAATTGGTACTCTTTCCTTCGCCTTTTTCTCCGTCTAAGGAAAGTTTTAGGTTCAGAGATATATCCTGAATGTCTCTGAGGGAATCACTAGGTGAATCAGGGGCGGAGTTTTCAAAATCAATTCTCTGCCACTGAGGATGTCTTTGCTTGCACCCGGCTATGCGAGACAAGTAGGTTTTGCAGTGCTCTGGCCAAGAAAACAGGTGTATGTTTTTGAGGCCGTTCTGTCTGCATCTTCCCCAAAGATTTTTGTCTGACACTAGTTTCAGGAGAGCATCAGCTATAGCTTGCTGATCATGAGGGTCAACTAAAAGACCATTGTCAAGAACCTGTCAATAAGTTAGCCCATATCGTCAATTAATGATTTATTTAACGGAAGTATAAGATAACAAATGCACACTTTTTCTATTATTTAGGGAGATACAAACCCGGAGAATGTCGACGGGGCCGCCATTTTTTGTTGCAACGGTGGGCAACCCATGAGCTGCTGCCTGTTAGACACATCGCTTGGTTATAAGAAATCTTGAAAAAAACAGAGCACTGAAAAGAAAAAGAAAGAACTTTTACCTCAATTAGAGTCAGTCCAAATGGTTCGATCACAGCTGGATTGATAAAAACTCCCTGAAAAAAATGGTTTGAGATAAGATGGATGAACAATCTGCTTTGCAGTCACAGCTGCATCAACACAGGCTCAGAAATGAGTATAGAACCTTACTTTTGTTTTGGCTCCTAAGCGGTAAATCTCTGGCACATCAAGTTGTTTGTGATGCTTAGGCATTGCCACTTGACCATAAAGATCGTACTTGTCTATCAGTTTCAAAATTGAAAGCAACACCGAGGAATTGGTGCTAGACAATTCATCAATATCATCTCGGTTTCCCATAATCAATGTCTGCAATTGAAGAGAAAGAAAAGAAAGTACGAAAACGTGAAATATCAACCATGAAAGTTAACAGGGGATCATAGATGTGGTTCAGTTGAGAATATCAAGAACGGGACATACAAGGTTAGCAAGTTCCCTTAATGGACGACATTCTCCAAAGGCTTTGACTAATGTTACCAAGTTTTTCTTAGGGTCTGGCCGAGCAAGAGCGAGTATCATGGGCTTTCGTGGGTTAGAAAAGAAACGCATAATCTGCCCAAGTGAAGAGTTTATAGTAAATATAATGGTAAAACTGAAACAACTTGCAGAACTGAAACTTAGTAAGTAAACACGTGATGAAAGGCAAAATGTTTATTGTTAGAAGGATTTACTAACCTCAGACCAAATTGGCGGATCAGCAGATTGTGGATTTTCATCGTCTCTAGCTCCTTCCCCATCATTATCCACATCATGTGGTACAATGTGATGAAATTCCATACCAGGAGGAATCACCTAGATTCACAGAGAAAAATTACCCATCATCACAGAGACTTATCTAGCAACATAAACTTCACATTTCAGACCAAAGAGAGGAACTTAGAGACAGAAAGAGGCAGATGATACTTACAACCATGCGAGACATAAATCTGCCATGACAGCTCACACCTCTTTTCATCCTAGCTCTGAGTTTTCGCTCCAAAACTGGATCAAAACCATCATAGAGGCGCCATTGCTCTTCAATCTCTTGCCTTGTGCTAGTTATAATAATTTCAGAGGCGTCAAGGCATAGCTCCTCTGCCTCAATTCGCCTCATTATTTTGTAGTTAGAATTTATTTCTTCTTTCGGCCGCCCTTGTTTCAGGAGTTGCTCTAGCTTATCACGACCAAGAGAATGCCCAGTAAAAACCATTGGTACATTTAGAGCCCCTGAGAGAAGTGCAGTGGAATCGCCAGCATCTGCATAGTGCCCGTGAATAGCAACAGGCCAAACCGGTTTTCCACCACCGATTTGCTCACTCAGAGATTTAGACATCTGCATGACATGGCTAAGTGCCCTGTCAACAAATTCAGGGATATGAGGCCAGAGAAGCTCTTTTTCTACATATTTATCTTTCGGACCAAATGGTATACGAATTATGTAAGCTCCACTACTCTCCCCATGCTCCTGATCTGTGCTTTCTGTGCTCAGAGGATTAAGCATCTCGGACGGTTCAGCATAGCTCCAGTCAACATCTGGTGCTGATACCTGTCTGGTCAATAAATCAACCCTGTAGACTCCCGGCATTGATCCCAACGCCCTTGCAAGTTCCACAACATACTTCACCTGTTTGCCAGAATCGTCGAATGCTGTGTGAAACGAATAACTACGATCTGAGTACATAACAAAATAGAAAAGTGTAAAAAAGCCAACCTGGCCACCAGTATCAGAATCCCGACCAAGCTCCATGTTTTCACCTCGTATCAAACCGTGAAGACTGAAAGAAGATTTCCAACATTGTTTAGCAAAATATGCACCTTACACCAACTACAAAGCACCATTTGCTTCCCAATGTTTGTTCAGGAGAACTGAATATTACAATATATATATATTACCTTATTAAGACGATGTAAAGCTTCTTTTCTTTGTGTTGAGCAAACCAATTCTCAAACACATCAACAGAACTGATCCGGGACATTCTTCCTTTGGTGCTTTCACTAGGAGTATGAATTTCACCAGGCACATCCGCTTTCTCTCCTTCTGATAGGTCTTCTGACATATCCGCAGTTGCCTCCATCCGTGCTCTCTCTCGCTCAAGATGACGTTTAGCAGTACGCTTAGCATACTTCCCTTCAACCTAAAGTGAACAAAACAGTGTACTGAAAATTGGCGACTACCATAGATCACACATAACAACAAAAGCACCAATAATGAATTCGTCCAAATATCTCAAATTAATGTTCAACACAATGCAGAGAAACAAATTAGGCTACATAGCACTAAGTAATCAAAGATTGAAACATATCAGAACCTGCTTCTTCTGGCGAGCCAAATTCCAAATCCTCCAGCACAAATTCTCCAACCTCGTATTCCGCTCCTGAGGACTTCTCGTTGCAGCAGCCTGGGAAACGAAATCAATCGAACTACTCAACAACAAAAGTAAGATTTCCAACGTTTAACCAAACGAAAATCAAAAGCGAGACCGTATTCATAAATATACCTGAATCCATGACCGATGGAGATCGGTCTCATCGAAGCCTGTGATCACCTCCTCGACGAAATAACGAGTCGGACTGAAATGACCACGCTCTCTTAGCAACAACGAAGATTTCGAATCGCCGATCCCTGGTT